AAAAAAAAAAAAAAAGCCCCATGAAGCCAAGGATTTCAGTCTGCTTTGTTCACCAGTATACCTTTCAGCATGCCTGGTGCAAGGCAGATGCTTGGGAAATATTTGTTGAATGATAGGTCTCCATTTTCCAAAGGTAAAATAAAACAAAGTCATAGGAATTTCCAAATTGTTCTACGCCATAAAGATGGGGTTATCCATCTTAATTTTGAGAACTTCATAGTGTCAAGTACAATACCATGTGCCCAGTTTGAGTCTTTAATAAATACTCACCTATAAACAATTTGAGGGAGAAATTCAGTGTACCTTAAACCTAGTAGTTACATTAGCAAGTGATTTCCCTCTTTTTGTATATGTGTCCAGGTCACTGATTTCATAAAAGGAATCAATAGGCATAGTGGAAGTGCTTTTTCTATGCTTTTTTTTTTGAAATGGGTCTTGCTATGTTATTCAATCTGGCCTCAAACTCCTGGCCTCAAGGGATCCTCCCATCTAAGCCTCCTGAGTAGCTGAGACTACCAATGTGTACCACCATGCCTGGCTTATTTTTGAGGTGGATTGAATGCCTTGTAAGATACTTTAGTCTCTCCAAGGTGACAGTAAATGACTTCTAGATAACTGCTCTGGAAAGAATGATACGGTCATTGTCATTGCTGCAATTCGGTGTTGTTTCTCGGGGAAACCTTAGCCTTTGGTGATTTTTATCTCTGATAATTCAGTTTTTTAAATCCAGTATCAATTGTTAACATTTTAGAGTGAAAGAAGCAAGTCCTCTAAATTGACTTTGTTATTTTAGGAAGGGAAGAGGCTCTCCACTCCCTGTATTTTAACGGACTGCTTCTTCTAGGCTATTCCAAAGCAGATGTGAGTTAATAAAAAGAGTATTTGCTGACCCATCAAATTTTGGTATACTCATACTCTTAAATATTTTGACTTGATGTTTGAGGAAAGGACTCTACTTGGAAGTGTGTTAGCATTCTGTTTTGTTAAAGTTTTGTCATTTTTGTTTTCTACATTTTGTTATTTAAAGGTCTCACAGATAAATTAGACTTATAAATGTTTTAATGCGTAAAATTCATAACTAAGATTTAAAATTTTCATTGCACTTAAAATGACATGTAATCTGTTATGGGATTAGTTTACTTTTTATTTTTATTTTTTTTCTTTTCACCCCTCCCACCCCAATCCCCATGGGATTAGTTTAAAATTTTTTTAAATAAAAAATAAAATGTCATCGAATGATGACTATATCCCTGGGTAATTGTTTAAAATATACAAAATCAATATGTTTAAAATATATTTATTTATCTTTCCCATTCCTTTTCACTTAGAATCAGAATAAAGTATTTCAAATATCTAAAAAACATACATATATACACATTTATGTTATCATTTTTCTATACCATAATAATTAGACATGATCATATTGGTCTCCTGAATACTTTTTGCTACTAAATAAATAAAATCAACATCATTAAAAAGATAAAAAAGCATAAGTGATAACTTTAAACTTGGCCACAGGTTCAAAAATCACAAATGTCTTCAAATGATGGAAGATCCAGGAATCGGGACCGGCACTACGATGAGGTTCCAGGCGAATTGCCCTATCAAGATGGCACCATAAGAAGTCTCCAGACTCTTCACGACAGTGAGCTGGCCTTGAGCTCTGATCCTTTACCGCCACCCCCTCTCCCATTACAGCCACCATTCGGCCCAGACTTCTACTCAAGTGACACGGAGGAACCAGCCGTAGTGCCGGATCTTAAACCCGTGAGGCGCTTTGTCCCTGATTCCTGGAAGAACTTCTTCAGGGGGAAGAAAAAGGACCCAGAATGGGATAAGCCGGTGTCTGATATCAGATACATCTCCGATGGGGTGGAGTGTTCACCTCCAGCCTCGCCAGCGAAACTAAACCACCGTTCGCCCCCCAACTCCTGCAAAGATCCCTACGGAGGAGGGTCAGAAGGAACCTTTGATTCCCAGAAAGAGACTGACGTAATGTTTCCCGACGACTCCTGTGGATCTCTAGGCCGACACACACAAACAGCTCGAACGTACAGTGAGAAGGTGGAGGAGTATAACCTGAGGTATTCCTACATGAAGTCCTGGGCAGGCCTGCTGAGAATTCTGGGCGTAGTAGAGCTGCTTTTGGGGGCTGGTGTCTTCGCTTGTGTCACGGCTTATATTCACAAGGACAGCGAGTGGTATAACCTGTTTGGATATTCACAGCCCTACGGCATGGGAGGTGTTGGTGGCCTGGGCAGTATGTATGGGGGCTATTACTACAGTGGCCCCAAGACCCCTTTTGTACTCGTCATTGCTGGATTAGCTTGGATCACCACCATTATTATTCTGGTTCTTGGCATGTCCATGTATTACCGGACTATTCTTTTGGACTCTAATTGGTGGCCCCTAACTGAATTTGGAATTAATGTTGCCTTGTTTATCCTGTATATGGCTGCAGCCATAGTCTATGTGAATGATACCAACCGAGGTGGACTCTGCTACTATCCATTATTTAATACGCCGGTGAATGCAGTGTTCTGCCGGGTAGAAGGAGGACAGATAGCTGCAATGATCTTCCTGTTTGTCACCATGATAGTTTATCTCATTAGCGCTTTGGTTTGTCTAAAGTTATGGAGGCACGAGGCAGCTCGGAGACAGAGAGAATATATGGAACAACAGGAGGTAAGTGATTTCACAATCCTTCATTTGTTTTTTATTTATTTCTGCTGTTTGCTCCCTTGTTAAAAATGTACAGTCCTCAAAACAGAAAACTTTCGTAGAAGTATTTAAGTTTCTTAATGATCTGAGGTTCAAAATTTCTAGCTCACCGAGCCAGAACTGAGATAACCCGCTCTGGTGTTTCATTGTTATATTATTATACCTTGCAAGTAGACACCAGATGTGTAATATAAAGTTTATTGGCTGCACTATTTTGCCTGTCTGATACTTAAGAAAAAAACATAGCCACTGAATTTCTGTAAAGAAGAAAATACTCAGTGAAATAAGTGTCTTATCATTAAAGTAAATTTGACAATCTTAATTCTTTAATATGGTAAAACAAAAATCCATAATTTTTCAGTTACAAGAGGAAAATGCTTATTTAAATGTTATGATTTACTTTTTCCAGTGAGTTACATAAAGCTAAATAAGAATATGGTGAACTATGTTTGATTTTTTTTTTATGTATCAAGTATGTATTGTAATGAACATACTCTGTAAAAATTTGCCCAATGGTTTTGATATTTTGTCCTTATTTTAGGGAGGTGTATGTTCCAAAGTTAGAATGGAAGCCCTGTACTTTTTTTTATATTTCTAGGATTTAACTAATTAAATATTATAATAATGAGAATAAATATGGAGAATAAAATGATAATAATAACAATAATACCTGAAGGATAGGATTATGTAAAAGCCCTATTTAAAATTATTTTCATCAAACAGTAGCAAAAGGTCAGGGTATGTTCTGCTAGCTTCATTATACCCTAAACTAAATTAATGTTTTACTTTTTTCTTCTAAGGAGATGTGTGTAACAGAATCTCTTTTTTTTTTTTTTTTTTTTTGCCAGGAGCTCCGTGGGTTGCCCAGGCTGGAGGGGCGTGAGCGACGCACTCCCACTCCAACTCCTAGGTTCAAGTGAGCCTCCTGCCTCAGCCTCCCAACTAGGTAGG